TTGCACGGCCCTGGCTGTCCAGATCTAACTCTATAGACCAGGCTGGCCTTGAACTCACAAAGATCTGCTGCCTATGCCTCCCAAGTGCTGGGATTAAAGGCGTGCACCACCACTGCCCAGCCAGCCCCAACATTGTAATCCTGATGCTATCTCTACCTAGGACTGACTTTAAATTCATGTCTCATTCTCAGCTGGTTCCCCTGACTCCACTTCTGTCTTTCCATTCAATGCCCTACTTAGGAGTCCATTTTTAGTTTCCCTTTTAATGTCATTGCATCTCCAAACCTCTCATCTTTACCAATACATACTCCTGTCACGGACACTCCGTAATTCATTTTCAGGGTGGAGTTTTTCATTACACGATTACTAATATGTGATTTTTTTTATTTCAGCGTATTGACAAAGACTTGTGTAATTGATCTAGAATTTGTAATTAACTGCAAAAAAATGAGTTTTGGCTTTCAGTTTCTTTGTTTGTACGTTTGTTTTTATAAGCATAGAGCTTAAACCACAAGAGACCTTTCTTTTCCAAGATTTATTTACTTATTTATTTACTTATACAGTGTTCTGGCATGTATGCCAGAAGAGGGCACTGTTATAGATGGTTGTGAGCCACCATGCAGGTGCTGGGAATTGAACTCAGGTCCTCTGGTAGAGCAGCCAGTTCTCTTAACATCTGAGCCATCTCTCCAGCCCCCTCAGTGGTTGTTTGTCACCTGCTTCCTATGTGTCTGATACAGACAGATCTATATTTGCTGTGATTGTACTGTAAGATTTACCCATGTTAAGGATATAAATGGTCTCAAGGCTGGGCATGGTGGACTCAGGAGGCAAAAACAGGCCAGGATGAGGCCACTCTCATCTACATAGTCTAGACATCCAGGGATACTCAGGGAGACCCTATCAAAAAAAAAAAATGAATATAAGTGGCCTCACTCAGACCTCTTAAATGTTCTTATGTCAGTTAGTTTTGTTGAATACTGTAAGACTTCTCGAAATACCTCATTGTAACAATTCATTATTTTCTTTTCTTTGCAATTTTCTAAGGTGTGTGTGTGTGTGTGTGTGTGTGTGTGTGTGTGTGTGTGATAATATTTCTGTTCACAAATTTAAATGTTCTGTATTTAAAGACTTGGGAATGCTGCAAGTGAGAGCAAACCAAATTTGGCATTGGTTGCCCAATACCAAATGGTCATCCCTAAAAACAAGTAACATTTTACAGACCAAGCAGGTTATATTTATGTACTTAAGAATTCCATACATACATAGTCAGCCATTGGTGGTGCAAGCCCTTAATCCCAGCACTCGGGAGGCAGAGGCAGGCAGATCTCTGTGAGTTCGAGTCCAGCCTGGTCTCCAGAGCGAGTGCCAGGATAGGCTCCAAAGCTACACAGAGAATCCCTGTCTCGAAAAAAACAAAAAAAAACAAAAAGAGTTTATAAGAATTACATACATACATATATTACATGGATGAACATAACAGCAATTAAAGAGGTCATGTGTTGGAAAGAGAGGAAGAGAGGTAGCTAGAGGGTGTGGAGGGAGGAAAGGGAAGTCGAATTGATGTAATTATCTTATAATCCCAAAAATTACAAACTATGCATTTAATCTTAAAAATAAGATAAAAGATACCATTTGAATGTTTAAAAAAAGACAAGGAGCCAGGCAGTGGTGGCACACGCCTTTAATACCAGCAATCGGGAGGCAGAGGCAGGCAGATCTCTGAGTTTGAGGCCAGCCTGGTCTACAAATCAAGTTCCAGGACAGCCAGGGTTACACAAAGAAATCCTGTCTCCAGGGGAAAAAAAAAGAAAGAAAGAAAGAAAGGAAGGAAGGAAGGAAGGAAGGAAGGAAGGAAGGAAAGAAAGAAAGGAAAGGAGACAAGGGATTACTTATATAAGTAATTCTGCTCCCTTATCAGTTTCTTTGTGTGACATTATTTACAGTGACCTATTTCTATTGGTTAGTTGAAAAATATTTCATGGGCTGGAGAGATGGCTAAGTGGTTAAGAGTACTGACTGTTCTTCCAAAGGACCTGAGTTCAATTCCCAGCACCCACATGGCAGCTCACAACAGTCTGTAACACCAGTTCCAGAAGATCTGACATCCTCATACAGACATACATGCAGGCAAAACACCAATGCAAATAAAATAAAAATAATTTTTTTATTTTTTTATTTTTTATATATTTGAATTACAAACAAGATTGAATTACATGACAATCCCAGTTCCCTTCTCCCTCCCTTCCTCCCCTACCACCACCCCCCAACTAAAACCTTACCTATCACATATCCTTTCTTCTAATCTACACCTGACTCAACCTTTCTGCTCCCTCATGCCCTCTGCATCCTTCCTTTTCTTCCCTTCTCATTCTCGTAGCTTCCTCCCCCCTCTTCCCATGCTCTGAATTTGCTCAGGGGATGGTGACCCTTTCCCCTTCTCCAGGGACAAAGTTGGTCTCTTTTAGGGTCTTCCTTGTTTACTTCTTTCTCTGGCAGTGTGAATTGTAGGCTGGTAATCCTTTACTCTATGTCTAAAATCCACATATGAGTGAGTACATACCATGTTTGTCTTTTTGTGATTGGGTTACCTCGCTAAGAATGGTTTCTTCGAGCTCCATCCATTTGCCTGCAAATTTCAAGATTCCATTGTTTTTTTTTCTGCTGAGTAGTACTCCATTGTGTAAATGTAACACATTTTCTCTATCCATTCTTAGGTTGAGGGGCACCTAGGCTGCTTCCAGTTTCTGGCTATTACAGATAGTGCTACTATGAACATCATTGAACAGATGTCTTTGTTCCATGAATGTGCTTCTTTTGGGTATATGCCTAGGAGTGGAAAAATAAATATTTTTAAAAGAAAAATTTTACTACTATTTTAATTGTTTATTTGAAATTTTCAGACATTTATACAATATATTTGGGTCATTTACACCCACTACAACCTTCCACCTACTCCCGTTCTGACCCCATCTCCATCCCAAGTATTTTATTTGTTTGTTTGTTTGTTTGTTTGTTTGTTTGAGACAGGGTTAAATCCACACACATTTCTTCTCTCTCTCTTTCTTGAAACAAAGTATCATGTAGCTCAAGGTGAGATATATGTATGTATATATACCATCTCCAAAGATAACTGAGCTTTTGGCTGTTTCCTTTATTTTATGTGTCTGAATGTTTTGCTTGCATGTATGTCTGGGCACTGTGTGTGTGTGTGTGTGTGTGTGTGTGTGTGTGTGTGTGTGTGTGTGTGTGAGTGTGTGGGTGTTTCAAGACAGAGTTGCCCTGTGTAGCTTTGGAGCCTGTCCTGGAACTAGCTCTTGTAGACCAGGCTGGTTTTTTTCTACCTAAACTGCCTGCACTTTCATTAGTGTTAAATCTCATACAGCATACGCAAAGTAGTAAAGAATACCTGTCTAGGGGCTGGAGAGATGGCTCAGTGGTTAAGAGCACTGACTGTTCTTCCAGAGGTCCTGAGTTCAATTCCCAGCAACCACATGGTGGCTCACAACCACCTTGAATGAGATCTGGTGCCTTCTGCTGGCATGCAGGCAGAAGGCTGTATACATAATAAATAAATAAATAAATAAATAAATAAATAAAATAAAGAATACCTGTCTAGTGTTCCTTTCAGCACTGGAGCTCTGTGTCTGTCAGCATTTATGAAATGTAGCTGTACCCAGCAAGGACCTCTGGTATGTTTGTGGTTTTTGTTAAATTGGGGATCTATTAACAGGTAGCTGGAATGATGGGATATTCGGGTGATGATTTATGACATATTTGAAATATGATAGGAACATCATACATGCTGGGTGGTGGTGGTGCATGACTCTAATTCCAGTGCTCAGGAGGCAGAGGCAGGCAGATCTCTATGAGTTCCAGGCCAGCCTGGTCTACAGAGTGAGTTCCAGGACAACCAGGGCTACATAGAGAAACCCTGTCTCGAAAAGACAAAAAAAAATAAAAGTAAATAAATAAAAGCATACATTTAGTCTGTTTAGTCCACTTGGTGTTTGTTGTTATTGCTGATTAAAGGTGTGTGCCACCACGCCCGGCTCCAGCCTCCATTTCTGCTTCAACACCTTCTGTCCTCTGAGGTTCTCAAGGCTCCCTGGAATGTAGTTCCCAAAGGTACCACCACATTTGGACCTGAAAAACAAAGGAGTTTGACATTTCTCTGACCTTCTCTCCTCCTGAACCGTCAATCAGTGTATTTTCCCACAAACACCAGTATGTAATTAGTTTTATAATTCAGTCCACTTAGTTTTCACCAGAAGCCTGACAAGCATCACTGAGAGGATGCTTCCAAGCAACACTGTCTTGATGGGTTTCTTGATATCCCAACTCTGCCTGGGTGTCATAGGGAACTCGTTGCTCTTCGTGCTGTATGTGTACAGCTTCTTGGTCAAAGCTCGCTCTAGCAGACCTATCGATCCCATTTTCATGCACCTGATGATAGTCAATATATTGACGATCCTATTTGCTATGATATCATATATCGTGTCATCCTTTGGAGTCAGACATTTTCTGGATGATGCTGGCTGTAAGGCAGTTTTATATGTGTTCAGAGTCACCCAGTGTCTGTCCATCAGCACCACCTCTATTCTGAGCACATTCCAAGCCATTACCATCACTCCCAGTTATTCAAAGTGGGCGTGGCTTAAGCCTAAACTGCCATTGTGGATGTTTATCTCCTTCCTGGTTTCCTGGTTCATCAACACGCTCATATATGTGTACATCATTGAGACTGTGATAGCAAAGATCAACGACACTGACGTTGATTACGGATATTCTCATGCTTACTGTAAAAGACTACCTAATACCCGCCATCAAGGATTATTCCTGAGTGTTATCACAGTAGGAGACATCTTCTTTATGACCATCATGATATGGACCAGCCTGTACATGGTGACTCTCCTTCACAGACACCGCAGGATAACCCAGAATCTCCACGGCCCAAGCCTCTCCAGTCAGCCGTCTCCTGAACGCAGAGCCACTCACAGCATCTTATGGCTGGTGAGCTGCTTTGTGCTCTTTTACTTGCTGAACAATTTCATCACCCTTAGTGGGTTTTATGCTCGTGAAAAAAGGCCAGCATTGGGGGCCATCGTTGTAATTGTGTCGTCCGTCTACCCCACTCTCTGCCCATTTTTACTAATGAGCAATAATAGAATAATTTCACGGTTTATTTCTTCTTTATCAACCCTGAGAATTACCTGTTTTCAAAGAACATTTGGTGACTGATACGAAAGCCCAAACATCTTCATCGTCAAGAAACGAGTCTCTGATGACTTGTGTGCTAAGTTTGAAGCTGTGTGGCTCTTGAATCCCTGATATGGTCCAAGTTAAAATTCACACAAGTTGCCTGTTTTCAATTTTTAGATTTTTAGTATTGTGCCTCAATAAAAAGTACATCCGTGTACTTTCAATACTTTTCATATTTATTGCCCATATAAATGATAAGGCTTTGGAGCTTGTAAAAACAGTGGCCATGCTGAACTCTGAGTGTCATGACACCCACACACATGGTCCTACATACATACAAAGACAGAAAGACAGACAGACAGACTTTGCAAAGATTTTTTCTTATTTCGATACTTTGAGCTCAGTGAATCCTGCTGAAGAGAATGAGAAAGAATTGTAGGAACCAGAGGAGTCTAGGACATCACAAGCAAACTCACAGAATCAATTAACCTGTGACAAGGGTTGTCCTTCTGTATCTATGTTTCTTGTTGGTTGATGAATGAAACACTGTTTGGCCAATAACCAGAGAAAAAGAATAGTCAGGGCTACCAGACCAGGAGAAGGCAGAGAGCCCCCCCCCCCAGCAAGGAGATGCCATGTAGACCACAGAGGAGTAACAGGTCCCAGGCATTCTCCAGTAAGCCAAGACCATGTGGAAATAAATAGATTAATAGAAATGGGTTAACAATTAAGAAAGAGCTACCCAATAAGAAGCCCTAGCCATCAGCCAACAGTCTAATAATTAATGTAGCATCCATGTGTTTATTTGAGGCAAAAGTGAGAGAGGAACCAGGCTGGAAAGAAACTCCAGCAACAAACCTGAGCTCATAGGGGCTCACAGAGTCTGAATTGACAAATAGGGAGTCTGCATGGGACTGACAAAGGCCTCTGTATTTATGGGACAGTTGTGTAGCTTGGTCTTCTTGTGGGACTCCTAACAGTGGGAGCAGGGGCTGTCTCTGACTCTTTTGCTGGCTTTTGGGACCCTAATCCTCATACTGGATTGCCTTGCCCAGATTTAATACAACAACTTGATATGCCATGTTTTGTTGATATCTATGGAAGCCCTGCCCTTTTCTGAATAGAAATGGTGGTGGCGAGGATGAGGGGTACAGGGGGCAGAAGAAGACACTGGGAGAAGGAGGGGGAACTGTGTTCAAGATGTAAAAGTAATTAATTATTGTATATCCACTTCAGATACCAATATGGAAGTTTCTCAGAAAACTGGGAATCAATCCACCTCAAGATCCAGAATATACATAAAGGATGTTTAGTCATATCACAAGGACATGATGGGGGATTCCTTCTGTATCCTGTGAATATATGTTTCTCTTATTGGTTGATGGATAAATGTTGCTTCAGACTATGGACAGGCAGGATGTAGCCAGGCAGGAAGGCTAGGAGGGGCAACCCCAGACTAGGACCATTCTGGGAAGAATAAGGCACCAGTGAGATGCCATGTAGCTCCTGAAGGAGTAATATGCCAGAACATTACAGGTAAGCCACAGCCTCATGGCAACATGTAGCTTAATAGAAATGGGTTAATAATTAAGAGAGAGCTAGCCAATATGAAGCCTGAGCCATTGGCCAAACAGTTTATAATTAGCAGAAGCCTCTGTGTGTTTATTTGGGACTAAAGGGCTGTGGGATCAGACAGGACAGAAACTTCCATCAACAAAACTCTTGCTCAGCTATGTCCATAGAAGCTTTATTCACAATAGCCAGAACCTTGGAACATCCTAGATGGCCCTCAACTAAAGAATGGATAAAGAAAATGTGGTACATTTACACAATAGACTGCTACTCAGCTACTAAAAACAATGACATCAGGAAATCTGAAGGCAACTGGAAGGAACTAGAAAATATCATCCTTAGTGATGTAATCCAGACCCAGAAAGGTAAACACGGTATGTACTCATTTGTAAGTAGATATTAGCTGTAAAGGATAACCATGCTACAATCCACAGACCCAGGGAGGCTAGGAAACAAGGAGGACCCAAGGATCTCCTAGAGAAAGAGAAATAGAAGAGATCTCATGGGTGAACTGGGGTAAGGTGGAGATTCGAACACGAGGGATTGGATTGGGGGTGGGGTTGAAGGGAGGGAAAGAGTACTGAAAGAGATGACTGGAAAGGAGAAGGGGCATTTCAGGGTCAGGTAGAAACCTGGTGCAAGGGAACCTTCCAGGAAATCTACAAGGATGACTCCAGCTAAGACTCCTAGCAATAGTGGGTATGTAGCCTGAACTGGCCATCTCCTGTGACCAGGTAGGACTTCTAGTGGAGGGACCACAGCCCAGCCACACAATCTTTGACCTCCAGGAGTCTATGGGATAGGAGAGGCAGAGATTGAAGGAGTGACCAACCAATGACTGGTCCAGCCTCAGACCCTTACCACACGAGTGAGCCCATCCCTGACACTGCCTGGAGTGCCAGGTACCCAGAGGCTGGATGGCCCAGAGACCTAGGACAGAATCAAATACAATTTGAGAAAAAAAATTCAACATAATACTGCCTAAAAATTTTGTTATGCTCATAGATTGATGACTACTGCAATGGTCATCAGAGTCTTCATCCAGTAATTGATGGAAACAGATGCACAGATCCACAGCCAAGAGCTGGACCAAGCTCGGGGAATCCTGCAGAAGAGAGGGGGAAACCATTGCATAAGCCAGGGCGGTTAAGGATTTCACATTGGGACCCACAGACAATTAACCCAGCTCATAGGAGCTCACTGCGTATGGACTGAAAGTCATCGAGCCTGCCCGGGACTGGCCTAAGCCCTCTACATATGTGTGGCCGTTGTGTAGTTTGGTCTCCTTGTGGGACTCCTCATCTCACAAGTGGGAGCAGGGACTGTCCCTAATGCTTTGCCTGGATCCTGGAAACAAATTCTTCATACTGGGTTGCCTCGACCGGCCTTAATACAAAGGGAGGAGCTTAGTCCTACCACAACTTGGTATGCCATACTTTGTTTCTCTTGGTGCATGCTGGTAGGCTACACTAAAGAGGCGGAGGCAGGAGTATTGTGAGTTCAAGACCAGCCTAGATCTCACATTTGGAACTGGAGATGTGGCTCCATTGGCAGAGTGATTGCCTGCCATACATGAAGCCCTGGATTAAGTCCCCAGTACCACATAAGCCAGACTGGATGCTGCATGCTGCCTACAGTCCCAGTACTTGTGAAGTGTAAGTTGGAAGTTCAAATACACAGTAGTGTGAATGGAATTGACCCCCATAAGCTCATCGGAAGGGTGTTGCGTGATATTAGATCACACAGTGACCACCAACATTGTGTTATTTACTAGAAAAACTTGATTCTAGCTGTGGTATGGCTCAGTCCTAGCACACACCTTTAATCCAAGAGCTTTCTGCTTGAATATTGTAAGCAGGATTAAATAAAAACAACCTTAGGTCAAGAGGTGGAGCAAGCAACCAGTTAACAGGGAATAACCATAAAGAGGAAGATGTCAGGAGGACAGACAGACAGACAGACAGACAGACAGACACACACACACACACACACACACACACACACACACACACACACACACAGGAAGTAGAAGGGAGGGACATCTGGTTGGAGGAGTTTTGTTTGAGATGGCATAGGAGAAAGCTCTTTCTGGGACATCAGGAGGAGAGAAGTAAGCTGGGTGCTTTCTTGGCCTCTCTGAGCTAGCAGCCTTTCACCCCAGCATCTGGCTCCCGAGCCTTTATTGCTAAAATTGAATGACTGAAATCTATTAAAAAACAACAGGAGCAAGCCGGGCATTGGTGGTGCAGGACTATAATCCCAGCACTCGGGAGGCAGAGGCAGGTGGATCTCTGTGAGTTCGAGGCCAGCCTGGTCTCCAGAGCGAGTGCCAGGATAGGCTCTAGCTACACAGAGAAACCCTGTCTTGGGGGGGGGACATGAGTGGCACTATTAGGAGGTATAGCTTTCTTACAATAGGTGTGGCCTTGTTAGAGGAAGCATGCCACTGTGGGCACAGGTTTTGAGGTCTCCTATGCTCAATCTGCACCTAGTGCAGACTGTTATGCCAAGTTCGTGAGACCCCAAAAAAGACATACACGGAGCCGACTCACAGATGCAAACGAGTAAGGTTTAATGTTAAGTTACAAGCCTCTGCAGAGACCCTGTCCAGAAAACTGGCACAGCAGCTGCCGGCAAAGGGTGCCTGGCCTCAATTGCTAGGGGTTTTTAAAGGAAAAAACCACAAGCAGGGTGGTATGTGCCTTGGCTGTTCAGGATTGGGTAAGAGTAGGTGACCTTTGGATTCATTGACCTGGGGTCTAGGGGAATTTCAAAATCGTTACTAACAGTTGTCCACAAGGACAGTTGTGATGAGAAGATGTTATTTACCAAAATTAGTCATTGCCTGACCACCTGGATGGGGTCACTTTGCCCGGGCGGGCACAGTTTGGGTGCTACTTGGAACCGTTTATGGTTCCTTGGGGGGAGCTGAATCAGCCTTGTGCCATGCTGGGAATTTGTCAAGGTGGCTTTTTCTGAGGATGGAGTTAACTCCATCCTCCCCAGTTTACCTTGCTCTTACACAGACCACTTCCTGTTGCCTTCAGGTCAAGATGTAGGACTCTCGGTTCCTTCTCTAGATGTAAACTGCCTCAGTTAAATAGTTTTCCTTTATAAGAGCCGCTGTGGGACTGGAGAGATGGCTCAGAGATTAAGAGCATCGACTGTTCTTCCAGAGGTCCTGAGTTCAATTCCCAGCAACCACATGGTGGCTCACAACCACACACTATGAGATCCGGTGCCCTCGTCTGGTGTGCAGATAGACATGGAAGCAGAATGTTGTATACATAATAAATAAATAAATAAAACCTTTAAGAAAAAAAAAAAAAGAGCCGCTGTGGTCACAATGTCTCCTCACAGGAATAGAAACCCTACCTGATACAAAGTGTAAGCAGAAGTTCAAATCCCTCCTCATCTACATAGCAAGTTCAAGGCTAGACTGAGATACAAGAGACACTGTTCCAAAC